GACACAGCCACATCAGTGTTTATAGCAGCACAATTCACAATAGCTAAACTGTGGAGCCAACCTAGATGTCTTTTTCTTTTTTGATAGTGTCTTTGAAGCACAAAAGTCTTAAATCTTGATGAGTTCCATTTTTTTTTTCTTTTTGTTGCTTGTGCTTTTATTGTTGTGAGAAACTACTTACACCTAACCCAAGGTCATATGGATTTATGTTTATGTTTTCTTTTAGGAGTTTTATAGTTTTAGCTCTTAAAGTTAGATTTTCATCCATTTGGATTTTTCTTGTCCTTCCTCCACTATAGTTAGTTCATGAGTGTGGAGTGAGATAGGATTCTACTTTCATTCTTCAGTATGTGGATATCCAGTTGTCCCAGCAAAAGTGTGCTTTCTCCTTTGTTCTGTCTTGTCACCCTTGTCAGAAAACTGGACTTGCAGTTCTGTCCCACTGATGTATATATTTACCCTTGTAGTAGGACCACATTGTCTTGGTTACTGTAGTTTTGTAGTATTTTGATATAGTGGAGTGTTTTTTTTCTTTGTCAAGAATGTTTATGCTGCTCTGGATCTTTTGCCTGCCTGTGTTTGTTTCTTTCCTTCATTTCTTCCTTTTCTTTCCCCCTCCGTGGTGGGGACTGAATCCAGGGCCTCACACATGCTAGGTAAGTGCTCCACCACTAAAGTGCACCCCAGCTTGGCTTGTTGGTTTTTATAAAAAAGCAAGCTAGGATTCTGATGAGGATTTCCTTAAGTCTGTGTGTACACACGCATGTGTGAGATGCTGGGTGTTGAACCTGGGGCCTTGTGCATGCTAAGCATGTCCTCTTATCTCTGAGCTGTATGTAGTCCCAGCCCCTGCCTTGAATCTTATAGATTTGGAGAGTATTGCCATCTAAACAGTATGAAGTCTTTTAATTCATGAACATAAGATTTCTGTTCATTTATTTAAATTTTTAATTTTTAATCAAGAAGGTTTTGGAATTTCAGTGTATAATTCTTGCATTTCTTTTAAATTGATTCCTTTTAGTATTTTTGATGATATTATAAATGAAATTGTCTTTTTAATTTCATTTCCAGTGTTTTCATTGCTGGTGTATAGAAATACAATTGATTTTTATATTTTATCTTTGTATCCAGTGGCCTTGCAGAATGTATTTATTGGAATATTTTTTTCATGGATTCTTTAGGATTTTCTACATATAAGATCAAATCATTGCAATAAAGATAGTTTTACTTCTTCCCTTCCAGTCTGGTTGCCTTTTATTTTTCTCACCTAACTGCCCTGACTAGAATTTCTAGTACTGTGTTGCATAGAAGTTGGTAGTAAACATCCTTGTCTTGTTCTTGATATTGGACATTCAGCTGTTCAGTTCCACACCAGTGGGTGTGGTATTAGTGGTGGGTTTTCATAGATACTTTCTAATAGGCTGAGAAATTTCTCTACTATTTCTAGTTTGTTGAATGTTTTTATCATGAAAGAGTGATAGGAGGGCTGGGGATGTGGCTCAAGCGGTAGCGCGCTCGCCTGGCATGCGTGCGGCCCGGGTTCGATCCTCTGCACCACATACCAACAAAGATGTTGTGTCCACCGAAAACTAAAAAAAAAATAAATAAATAAAATTCTCAAAAAAAAGAGTGATAGGATATATTTTTTAAACTCACTAAGAGTTTTGAGTTTTTGTTAAATGCTCTTCCAAAATAAATTACTCTTAAAAATGACTATTTATCTTTTTTTTTTTAATTTGCAGAAATTGATTTGCATACCAAATGTGTGGTGGATGTTGATGCAAACAAGATCATTCTTAATCCTGTAAATACAAATCTTTCCAAAGGAGATGCCCGGTAAGTTAAGAAGCAATGTTATGTTCAATGGATTTTTAATGACCGAGTTGAGTTCACTTGAAGGAACTTGGAGTGCTCACTGTGGAGACATTGCTGTCTTCAGGAGTCTGTTCGGGTGGAGGGTCACAGTCTGTGCAGGGGTGATGAGTGCAGGGATGTGTGTCACAGGCAGAATTGCTTCTGTAGGAAGACAGGGCGCGTAAGGTTCTGGAGCAGTCGAAGGCTTCTGGAAGCACTGGGCTGGGAAGGGTTGGGGGAATCAGAAAGGAAGAAGCAGGTGGGTGGGAGGGCTGTCAGGCCACCACTCAGTGAGGGTGCCTTCACTTCTGCCCAGGCAAGCACTGTCTGTCCCCGCTCAGTGCTCCCTTGGCGAGGGCGGTCTTCGGCCCAGGGATGCCTCTCTAAAGGCTTGTAGGCCATAATGGCGTTGTCATTCCAGGTKTGTTCCAGCTCTGCAGTTGATTTTAAGTCTTTGAGACAAGAGACTGTCAGAGACAGGGGTGAGCCCTCAGGCGGCACCCCCAGATCTTGATGAGGGAGAGGAAGAAAGTGAGTTGGAGAAGGAATGAAGAGATTAATTTGGGTTTTCTTAGTAAATGGAGGGAAATTAATTTGATCAGCTAAACTGGGATCAGATTACTGAAAACCTGGAAGGCAGACAAAGAAATTTGGCCTGTACTCTTGTCTGTACGATTCTGCCTCTGACCGTGTTTCAGTGTTGTGATTGAGGGGGGTGGAAAGATGGTTGATTGGCAAGGTAGAGAGTGGGTCCAAGTAGGAAGGACATTTTGTGGAGAGACTGGCTGGGTGATGCCGTGCGCACAGGGGATTCTCCATAAGCACCACAGGCAGGGTCGTGTGTGGCCCTCCACAGAGTTCCTTTTGAGTTGGGTTGAAAGAGCACTGGGTGTGGAGTCAGAAAATCTGAGTCAAATCCTTTGAGTCAAATCCTTCCTCAGCTGTGTTGTTGTTTGTTATTTTCAACTTTTTGAACCTCCTCTGTTTGATGCCTGCCATATCTGTCTCACAGAGAGGTTTCCCCCAAAGATCAAGTTGATTAGTGATTGGCAAAGTGCTTTATAAAGTGTGTATAAGTATGTATGATTATCAGTGTGAGGTATTTAAGTATCTCCAGCTATGAGGACTATGGGATATGCTGTCATTAGGGTGTGAAGGGAAGTTATGTCAAAAATGATGCTGGGATCTCAAGGCTGTGGATGGGATGAGCTGTTGCTCTGGGTGACATTTATTTTGGGGGATGTTTGCTGCTCTCAGAATGCTCAACGTGGAAACTTTGGCTTACATTGAGAAATRTGGGCAACTCAGCAAATCTGGAAGCAGTACCCTCTGGTAGCAAGTGTGGGTTTTATTTATTGACTGACTWGAAGTCAGCTTCTTGCTGGCACAGTTATCTACCAGTGCTCTTTATTTATGAAGTGTGTTAGCTATTTATTACTGTCAAACAAATTATTTCAAATGCAGTGGCTTAATACAGCCATAATTATTTATTGTCCCATGGTTACTRTGGGTCAGGGGTCCTGTCAGGGGATGGCTTGTCCTGTCTCACACCCTGTGGGCTCTCACTGGAAAGCTTGAAGGTGGGAGTTGGAATCACTTGGAAAAGGCTCAGTAACCAGGCCTGGTAGTCGATGCTGCCTTTTAGCCAGAGGTGTCTCTGGGGCTGTGTGCAGGACATGYACTCACAGCCTGTGGCAGGTGCCAAGGCAGGCATCCTGAGAGAGACCAAGCCAGCAGRAAGCACCTTGGCCTGTGTGTCCCAACGTGGGAGTCTCACAGGTCACTTAGGCAACATTTTCTTGCTCAAGGCTGGTGTAAAATTCTATACAGTTTAGAGAAGAGGAAACATCCATTTTTCAGTAGAAGACAGTCACTATGCATTATAAGAAAAACTTCTGGAATGAGGTAGGTATTGTTGTGCCCATCTTTGGAAACTGCCSTCATCTGCCACAAGTGTGTAGTAATACCTACCTGACAAGGTTCTTGTGAGTAAAATGAGCACACAGAAGCTAAAAAAAAGTATGTTTCCTTTCCCTTGGCGATCTTCAAATTTTAAGACATTTGTGAAAGAATTAAATAGTACTTTTTGATTCTGTAGACTATCTTAGATGGCTCTTTTTTTGGATAAGAGGTTAATTTTTTTTCCACTGCTGGGAATTGAACCCAGGCATACATGCTGGGTAGGTGCTCTGTCACTGAGCCATACCCCCAGGCCCCGTTTTATTTTCCTCTTCCATATGCTGAAAATTACTCAGTGCTATAGTTTGCTTTCTTAGATTAGAAAAAAAGAGAACTTTTTAAATTGACAATTTCCAAAAAGGATAGTATGTAATGGTTTGGGGTAAAGTTAAGTAAAGATTATTTAAAAAGCAACTTTTGGTGCTGGGGTTGTGGCTCAGTGTAGAGCACTTGCTTAGCATGTGTGAGGCCCTGGGTTTGATTTTCAGCAGTGCATATAAGAGAATAAAGTTCCCATCAACAATAAAATATTTAAAAATATTTTAAAAAGAAACTTTTTATTAAAGTATTTAATACATATATGGAGAAGAATATAACTTGATGAGTTTTCATAAACTGGACACATTCCTGTAATAGACACCCTCATAAAGAAACAACACTACTAGCATGGCAAAAGACCACTTTATGAGAAGTGCTTTGTTTTTTCTTTTTAAAGTGTAATATCAAGGTTTAAAGAAAACAAATTTTGGAGTGTAACAGTTCAGTGGTATATGTTGATATCATTAAATTTGGGGAAAAATAGAAAAAAAACACACATTAAAAGTTCAATTTTTTTTAATATTTTATTTTTTAGTTTTTTGACAGACACAACAACTTTTTGTTTTTTATATGTGGTGCTGAGGATCGAACCTGGGCCACATGCATGCCAGGCAAGCCCGCTACCGCTTGAGCCACATCCTCAGCCCAAAAGTTTAATTTTTTAAAAAAAATATTTTTTAGTTGTAGATGGACATAAATTTATTTATTTATTTATTATTTTGTGGTGCTGGGGATCAAACCCAGGGCCTTGAGCATGCAAGGCAAGCACTCTGCCAACTGAGCTATATCCCTAGCCCTAAAAGTTTAATTTTTATTAATTAATGATAGGAGATTAATTACCATCTTGCTGTGGAGTGCCAACTAATCTGGAAAATGAATAATGACTTTTTTTTTTAAATTTTTTTTTAAAGAGAGAGTGATAGAGGGAGAGAGATAGAGAGAATTTTTAATATTTATTTTTTAGTTATCGGCGGACACAACATCTTTGTTGGTATGTGGTGCTGAGGATCGAACCCGGGCCGCATGCATGCCAGGCGAGCGTGCTACCGCTTGAGCCACATCCCCAGCCCGAATAATGACTTTTTAGGGACTATATTTATAACCAGCAAGTTAGAGATTTGAAATGAGCGTGAAAGTGATTGAATCACTTAAAATCACTAGTCAGGGTGGGCTCAATTTAATATTTTYTCCTTTAAAAGCTATAATATTATTGCTTTATGGTCCAATTCTATTACTGTAAGATGGTAGTTATATATGTACTTTAMAATTCAAGTTATGCTTTGAAATTGAACAATATGAATTTTAAAACAGTGGTTTATTTTTTCTGATCAATTTTGTCTTAACTTTTGTAAATTTCATAATGATTTGACCTTTTGTTTATGAAAACCAATAGGAGCCATGGTTAAATCAATAGGTAAACCATCTCATTTAACAGCTTAATCATGGAGATWTGGGAAACAGTTTTGCTGTGCTGTGTATGGAATTTCAGAACCATTTTGAAAAAGAAGAATTTTGAAACTGAGAAAATTGATAGTAGAAGCCCAACAAAATTAAGAACACTGACTTTGGGACCAGGCATCCTGGATTGAATCTCAGCCCTACCTCCTAACACATGTAACCCTGGCAAACTTCTTACTTCCCTCTGCTTCTGTTTGCTTATTTGTAAAGTGGGGTTATAGTAGAATCTGGTTATAGGTTGTTATGAGGATTGAGTGAGTTAGAATTTCTCTCATGGGTCAGGTGTGATGGTCCAGGCTTGTGATCCCAGCCACTTGGGAGGCCAAGGCAGGAACATCTTTAARTTCAGGACCAGCCTCGGCAATTCAGCAAGACCCTTTCTCAAAATAAAACATGGGGGCTGAGGATGTCGCTCACTGATAGAGCACTCTATATAAAAAGTGCCGGTGCATGGGAACCCTGTGGGAAGGTTAGCTGTTATTCTTTTTTTTTTCTAAATATTTATTTTTTTAGTTTTAGGTGGATGCAATATCTTTATTTTATTTTTATGTGGTGCTGAGGATAGAACCCAGTGCCTCGTGCATGCCAGGCGAGCGCACTACCACTTGAGCCACATCCCCAGCCCCAGTTGTTATTCTTAGTATTACTTTTATTATTGCTATGGCCTGTGTTTAGTTGTAGGCCATGTGAAATTCAGTTATCAATATAACTTAACAAAGGTAGTAAATTTTTAAAAAAACCAAAATATATTTCAATTCAGTGTTTAAATATATACGCCTATCATGAAATTTCCTAGTTCTAGAAAAAGTTCAGCTTTGCAAGGACAGAAATATTATTGAATTTGCCCTCTGTTGATTGTGTACTTAAGAACAAGTTTGCCATCTCTACAAGAGACGGACAGGCCTACCCCCTAGATTTATTTTTTCAGTGAATAAAATATTAATCTGTGTAATCCAGGCTTTCCCTTTTTAGTATCTACTAATTTGGGAAACCAGGTCAAAACATTTCTTTTGAACATAGGGTAGGAACAGAGGGACCTTTTATCAAAGTTGGAAAAGATTCATGATGAGCTCTTCCGGTTCCACAGCTCCGCTTTGACACATCCTATTTTAGTGGCAGAGTCCTATATCCATGAGATCTGCCTGTACTTATTGGGATCAGTCCTGGACACACACTGACACGTTGTATTTATTTTCTCATGTACAGCCACACTACATATAATACTAGTACAATTAAATATCTTCAAA